GCATTAATTTAAGTGCATTGAAAATTTATGTCCACACAAAAACCTAAACATAGATACTTATATCAGATTTATTCATAATTACCAAGCCTTGAAAGTAACCAAGATATCCTTCAGTAGGTGAATGGATAAATAAACTGTGGTACATCCAGACAATGGAGTATTATTTAGTGCTAAAAAATGAGCTATAAAGCCATAAAAAGATACAGAGGACACTTCAATGCATATTACTAAGTGAAAGAAGCCAATCTGAAAAGGCTACATATCATATGAGTACAACTGTATGACATTCTGGAAAAGGCAAAACCATGGAGACAGTGAAAAGATCAGTGGTTGCCAGGGCTGGTGGTGAGGGAGGGATGAGTATATGGAGCGGAAGATATTTAGGGCGGTAAAACCATTCTGTTTGATATTATAGTGGTGGACACATGTCACTATTAATTTGTCCAAACCCATAGAATGTAAAACACCAAGATTGAACCCTCATGTCCAACTATGACCTTTGGGTGATAGGTCAATGTAGGTTCATCAAGCCTAACAAATGTGGTAACAAATGAACCACTTTGGAGGATGTTGATAATAGAGAAGGCTATGCATGTGTGTGGTGAGGGAGTATACCAGAAATCCCTGTACCTTCTGCTCAGTTTTGCTGTGAACTTAAAACTGCTCTAAAAAATAAAGTCTATTTTTAAAAAGCGGGGGAGAGGGTAAGTTATCTCTGTACCATATGACAACCAATGCATTCCCATCAAGTCTCACTCTAGTAAAAGGAGGTTTATGATGAGGATACAATGCTGGAATCTTATAGGGATGGCAATTAAGTAAATTCAGACCTTAGGAGAACCAAAAAGCCATCAAAATATTAATAATAACAATAATAGCGACCATGTCATGAGTGTTTACCCTGTGCCAGGCACTGTGCTAAGCAGTTCACCTGATAGCAATATTCCTGCTTTATAGATAAGGAAATTGAGTCCTAAGTAAGTTAGGTAATTTGCCCACGTACATAATTAACAGAGTCTAGATTCAAACCCAGTCTATCAGACCCCAGAGTTTGTTTGTTTTCATTTTCATCTCTTATTATCCTAGGGCTCTTTCTTTTGTCTGCCTTTCCCCACACAAGAATTCCCACTACTTCCTCATCTATTACATGGGACCCACAATGGCCAGCCTCATCTCCAGAGCTTTTAGAGCTTATCTTATCTCTAGAACTCCTAATTCACTTGAAAAAGTATGGCAAGCCAATGGATTGACGGGCTTTGAGACTGGTTTCCTTCAAGGATTCCATCAGCTATGGCTAGTCCCATCAGCTCTAGCTTATTGGCTCCTGGATGAATACCTGTCACCCCAGAGCTACAGGTAGTACAGGCAATTTGTCTGATACGTCCATCATACCAGAATATCACTTATTATCCTTAAAACCGGAATCCAGGAATAAACATGACTTTCCTCACATGTAGAATCAGGCTAATAATGATATACTTCCATGGCACTATTATGAGATTTATTTTTTCAAGATATTTATTTATTGATTGATTCATTGATTCATTCATTCATAAGAGACACAGATTGAGGCAGAGACACAGGCAGAGGGAGAAGCAGGCTCCAGGCAGGGAGCTCGATCTATGTCAAGTGTAAAGAACAGTGCACAGCACACAGCAGTTGCTATGAATGGTATTATTGTTCAAGCTGTACTACAGGTCCTTTTGTGCAGGGCTTCCAGGATGCTATGCCCTTGATCTGCAAATTAGTTTGTTTTCCCGACCTGCCCCTTTCAAGAACATTTGTCTCAACAATTGCCAGACTTAAATGTCCCTGTTAACAAGTCCTTTTTCTAGTGCAGGTTTGATAACACTCTTAAACCACGATTAAAAAAAAAAAAAAGAAAAAAAAAACCCTGAAAATTCACTGAGTACATTTGAAGATCTACTTGGCTTTATTAAATGATTAATGAATCCAGCAGCATCCATCCCTTCTAGGAATTAGAAAGGCCCTCTGAGGAGTTGTACAAAATAGAAGGCTTTTACAGGCAGAAGGAGGGTGGGGTGAGGAAGTTATTAGCCAAAAAAAAAGAAAAGGCCAGTTCATCTTTTGAGGGGAAGGGAATGGCAGGGGTCTTATTATACAAATTATCACCCTTGCACAGATCAGGAAATTTCAGATTGACCATTTAAAGATCACATTTCTCCCAAAAATAATAAAATAAAGATCACATTTCTGGGAGAGTAGTCTTGGTTTACTGTAGGTAGTAGGTAGTGGGGCAAATAATTTTATTTTGGGTCAATTTTTTCTTTTCCCATACAACAAAGGTAGGTGATTCTCAGTCTGAAAATGTCCAGCTATATTATTTTAAAATGACCCAAATCAATGCTAGCCTTTTTTTTGGAGGGAAGGTAATCACAAAACTAGGCCTTCTTCTCCTTCTCCTTCTCCTTCTCCTTCTCCTTCTCCTTCTCCTTCTCTTCTCTTCTCCTTCTCCTTCTCATCTCTTCTCTTCTCTTCTCTCTCTCCTCCTCCTTCTCCTTCTCTCCTTCTCCTTCTCTCCTCTCCTTTCCTCTTTCTTCTTCTTCTTCTTCTTCTTCTTCTTCTTCTTCTCTTCTTCTTCTTCTTCTTCTTCCTCTTCCTCTTCCTCTTCTGCTTCTTCTTCTTCTTTTTTCTTTTTTTACTAAGCTCCAACATGGGGCCCAATCTCATGACCTTAAGATAGAGACCTGAGCCAAGATTAAGAGTCAGATGCTCAATCAACCAACTGAACCACCCAGGAGCCCCATAAAACCAGTCTTAAAGGAAGAAAGCTGAGTTCACAGAAAGGATAGGCAGAAATGCCCTGCAGCAAACTCTGCTCCTGAAATCACATGTTTGGTTCCACTGGTCCATTTAACTGGGAAACAATTCATTAATGGCCACGAATAACAGGGGAAAAGGAGGATCAGATTGAGCTTGTCCGGACAACAAAGTAATTTATGCATTTGCACAGGATGCCTAATAATGCCACGATGGCAATCTGGGGAATTTAAATGTTTCCAGATGATTGCTATGAATCTTGGCATGGTTCTTCTCGCATCAACTCAAGCAGCGCTTTATACAAAAGAGGCATTCAGGTTTTTGTTGACTTGGTAAAGAGTAAATAAGGAACACAATGAGAAGCAGTGCTGTCATGAAATCTCATCCAAATAAATAAGGGATTTCCCAGCCCATGTCACATAACAATCACCAAGTTACATATGTGTTATTTCAAATTCCTCCTTTGATATTCCCAATTGTTGCCTAGCGAGCAAAGGCCTCTATTATTCAATTTTACAGATGATAGAATTGAGGCCCAGCAACTTGCCACTCCTTGCCACTGGTAGTAAGAAGAATCTAGTACAGAACCCTGGTCCCTGAACCCACATGTTGGTTCCCTGCCCCATGCTGGCTCTGTGGTGCACCCTGACAAAAACTGTGGAAGGTAACTTCCAGATGGTGAAACGAACTAACTGGTCAAGAAATAATCAATGTCTCTTAAAGTATGCTCCCTAAATCCCTAAAGTGCCATGACACTTCCAGAATAAGCTTGGGAATTATTGCTCACCAGATAATCTACCTTGATGTATAGACCACATCTGAGACTCTGAGCAAGCAAAACTGCCACATAGAAACATGTACAACACATTAACCTTGTATTCCTCAAAGTGATTTGACCACAAAATTCTTTGTGTATGTGTTATTAATATCTCACAGAGGAATATTCTTTGGAAAATGTCTTAGATTATGTTAAAACCAATTATTCAGGGACATAAGTAAATTAAAAATTATGCCTCAATCTATTTTGCCTAATCCCTAGCTTCTTAGGCCCTAACTAATTTCTAGAAGCAATACTAATTGTAAGGAACATCTGGCCATGTAGCCCGCTATTAGGAAGTACATAAGGAGGATAAAACTTTCGAAAATTAAAGCAGGCTTTAGGAGGGAAGATTAATATGAAAATAGAGTTTCTATCCCCAACCTCCTGGTAGTCGACAGAAACTCCAGGAGTTTCTTCATTTTTCTTCTCCACCTACATAGTTCTTCATGTATCTAGAGCTATGTCAGCAGTGTGAGGAGTAAGATGTTTCTCCTTCTCTTCCTCTCTTGTGGCTTTCCCCACGAAGAGAACTTCCTCTAATTTGGAGGGAGAAAACTTTGGCTTTCTTGGAGAACAGCATCTTATATGTGAAGTGGGAAGGTCACCCCGTAGCTGCCAGGAACAATGACTGGCAGCATTAAGGAAGAAGGGACTGTAACTTAACAGGCCTTTCAAAAAGTTTTATCAAGAATCAATTAACCAACCAACTGCACAAACAGAGTGAACCCTTTCATTATCAAACTCCTTGCAAGCACCTTCTTGTCCCTGACTGCATGCTTTGCTGGGGGAGGCAAATTATGCTCAGAGACCAGATGTGTCTTTCCAGCCAATTTCCAACTGTGGAAATTTTATAAGCTAACAGGATACAGGATAACATTTTTAATAAGCCAAAAAAGAACTAAAATTGTAATCCTGTGAAGGATTAATCACACTATTGTTTCAGGCAAGGAGAAGGGAAAGGAATAAAGTCCAAATTTAGTTGAGGCGTGCCTTTACACAAGACGGCACTTGAGAGCTATGGCTGTAACCAACCCAGAGCTGAAGTCCAGCTGCCAGCGCAGAAGAAAGAGGTCCCTGCTGCTAGAGCATGTTGCTGGGAAACAGTGGGGCCAGTGTCCATGGGCAAGGGGGTCTTTGTGGGGCCACCTTGTGGCTTTTGCCTCTGCTGGTAAGGAGTCGCCTTTACTGCCGCAGGAGTTAACTGCCCCAGGGTCTTCAGAGAGCTATTCAGATCAGTGAAATATGTAGTAGCCTCACCAAATAGAACGTTCTCGATAGTCCTCACAAACTCAATATTTATGTCTAAATGTACCCTTGCTTTCTCATCTGTCTTTACTGATAACCCCCAGCGGAACCCTCAGCAGCTACTAAATAGTTATCAGCTAGAAAAGATGAAATGGTGCTCACTTGGGCATCACAGATACTAAAAACTGGAAGGTTGCAGAGAAGTCAGCATGGCCCCCGCGCAAGGATGACACACAGACTCCTGAAGCGGCCCACGGAGCCCACGAAGTGATGACAACCTGACACAATTGACTTCATCCTTACCTCAAAACGACTCTACTTCTAAAAACAAATTCTTGTTTGCCTTTGTCATAAACAGGTGAGTTAAAACAACTTCACCAAAGTCACACTGAGTAGATTTGAAGTCGCACCAAACCCATATGCAGCCCTGCAGCTCCCTGGTTCTCTACTAAAGCAACTTCCCTTGAGAGAGTTAATTTTGAGTCTTCTTGGCTCCCCCCCCCCAACACACACCCTTGCCTTTTTATCCAGATTAAATCATTGAACCAAATTAGCAATTTATGGCATATATTTCCCACTTGGGGGAACACAGGAGCTTCCTTGCCTGTGGCCGTTCTGTGAGGCAGCAGTGTTTAAGATACTTGGCTTTACCCTGGGCATACGGTGGGTTTACACAATGGCCTGCTTTCTGCAACAACTTTTCCTTCTTGCATGATCCAAAACGGCCTCCCAGAGGCTTTCCTTCTACTCAGGTTCTCATGTCTAAGGTTTCTTCCTCAGCATCAGGACAGTTCTCTCAGGAAACAGTCTTGAAGCTGAGGGCAACATGCCTCAGAGGTCAGCCCCTCCTCCAGCCCACAGCCCAGGCTGTGGGCATTGCTTCCTTTGTGGCCTCAGGCCTCTCTCCACAAACAGGGTTTCTCAAGAGTGAGATGGGTGAGTGCCTTCCCGAGCCATAGCTGCGAGGTGGATGAGGGGGTCCACAGCCACCCCTTCCACCTGACCCACCAATGCTCTTGCCCAGCACGCTTGAAACAGAGGTTTCCCAGTGAGATTATGCACTTCTTCACAGCCCCCCTCTGGGGCCCCAGAGCACAGGCCACTGGGCTCCATCATTTGGTCAAAACTGTCTAACCAACACTGAGTACTTTTGAGTCACCTCTCTGGGAAGGCCAGTGTGCTACTATCTCTTTCATCTCTCTCTTGCCCAGAGCAAGAGCAAAATGAACTCTCCAGGAATTACAGAGCAAAGCATTCTTCCGTGAGGATTTTTAACCACTCGGTAGAAAAAAGCACCCCTGCTCAACTGATTCTCCTTTGCTGCCTGAAGGTCCTTTGTGACATTTATATCACTCTGCCTAGGTTCGAAGTGGTATTTTTCTTGAAGGTTAAGAACAATATCTTTAAATGATAAAGTTATTTAAATAATAAAAGAGAACACCTATAAAATGCACACTAAATGCTTTATAAATGTTAATGTTTACATTGTATAAATAGAATCAGTATTGATAAACTCATAAAACAATGCTATGAGATAGTTACTATTATATCCATTGTACAGATTGGAAAACTGAGGAAGAGGAAGGTAAATCCCCTGTATAGCCAGTACAGTGAGTGGAAGAGCTGGTGTTCCTTTTTCCCTCCCAGACTCTTTGTCCTGGTGTCTTCACTGCAAGGTGTTATTCCCTCTGGAAAAGATTGTCTCTCTCATTCTCTCTCTCTCTCTCTCACACTCACACACACACACACACACACACACACACACACACACACCCCAGGTTTGCCCTCTGGCAGTCCCGCTCGTGGTGTTGATCTGTTCTGCGGTTCTTCTGGTCTCTATTTCATTGAGTTCTGCTCGAATCTTTATTATCTCTCTTTTTCTGCTTGGTGTAGGCTTTACTTTCTGTTCTTTCTCCAGCTCCTTTAGATGCAAGGTTAGCTTGTGTATTTGAGTTTTTTCCAATTTTTTGAGGGAGGCTTGTATTGCGATGTATTTCCCTCTTAGAACTGCTTTTGCTGTATCCCAAATGTTTTGAACAGTTGTATCTTCATTTTCATTAGTTTCCATGAATCTTTTTAATTCTTCTCTAATTTCCTGGTTGACCCATTCATCTTTTAGCAGGATGCTCTTTAACCTCCACATGTTTGAGTTTCTTCTAAATCTCTTCTTGTGATTGCGTTCTAGTTTCAAAGCATTATGGTCTGAAAATATGCAGGGGACAATCCCAATCCTTTGGTATCCATTGAGACCTGATTTGTGACCCAGTATGTGGTCTATTCTCGAGAAAGTTCCATGTGCACTTGAGAAGAATGTGGATTCAGTTGCGTTCAGACGCAAAGTTCTGTATCTATCAGTGAAATCTATCTGGTCCAGTGTATCATTTAAGGCCCTTGTTTCTTTGGTGATACTGTGCTTAGAGAATCTGTCATTTGCAGAAAATGCCACCTTGAAGTCTCCTACTATTAGTTTATTATTACCTAAGTATGTCTTTACTTTAGTTATTAATTGATTGATATACTTGGCAGCTCCCACATTAGGGGCAGTCTCACTGGTGTTATGCCTCTTCTAAAACTTAGTAATCAGAAAACTTGAATTCTAAACATTGCCTCCCTCTTTCTTTTCTTCTTTACCCTTGAGCCCTTAGGATAAGTAAGGACACACCAAGCAGTCTCCTCTTCATAGGACTCCTAGAGAAGGTATTGCTGGGTCCCCCCACCATTGGCACAAGGTCTGGGCAGGCCCAGTCAGGTGGAGTGTTTCAGGAGCCCCGGGAGGCAGGAAGGCAAAGTGAGCCTAAATGTGCAGGATTTGAGAACATAATGCTCACTTTACCTGGTTTCCAGCTACGTGAGAATGTGCTACAAGGTATTTTCTGTCATGATTTCAGACAAAGGATAGCTAGCCCCCCTGAAGATTGAAGCACACAGTAGGGTCAAGAAAAACTTTGGGGGGAAAAAAGCTTTGAAATGGGCAAAATGATTGTGTCTCCTTTCACTGGAATGCTACGTATTGTCCAGAGGCCCCTTCTGGGGTGGTCAGATCCATCAGAGGTCAATGCCTTTCTTGTTCTTCAACTATTTTGCAACTCTGCTTTTTAACTTGTGGAGGCCTGAGATCTGATGCAAATGATCTCTGTCCATGCTAAAGCAAATGAATCTGGTCCCAGGAAATCACAGTTGAGTTCCACCCTGTGGTACAGGCTGTTTCTGCATCTATGAGCAGGTTAAAATCAGCATCTCTGGTTGCCCATTTATAAATGACCGGCTTCAGCTTTTCCTCTGAAGCAGTTGTAATATCTTCCTAGTTCTCTCAATATCAGTGACTTAAATCAACTGTTTGACATGTGTTCATTCTATATTCATGTGGGAGTTGCAATTTTACTTTTAAGACAATTACCCTGTAACAGCAGAGAGTCCACAATTTGATCGCTAACAATAAAATCCTTTCTCACTCCTCTGTTCTCAGCTGGGACCCTAAAATTAGACTACATGCCAGATCACGCTGCTTCTCCAAAAGACTCAGCTCTAGAAGGAAGTAAATGAGGATTTAAAAGGTTTCTTGCAAGGGGGCTAGCCATGTTTAATTCATTGGTAAAGAGTACCTGCCTCACTGAGGTTGCACCAGGACAGGCAAGAAAATACCAACCGGCAGCATCTGGCCAAAGAAAGGATGGAGGGGATGAGGGGATGGGAGGAGAGCTTGGACAAAATCTTCTTAAAGAGAAAGCTGGAGAAAACAAAACTGCAGAGAGCAGGAGAGAGTTATGACTCCCATCATTTAAGTTATTTGAGAATTGGGGACTCTTTGACTGATATAGTCTCACTTGTCTATTTTTGCTTTTGTGGCTTGTGCTTTTGGTATTATATCCAAGGGATCATTGCCAAGAGCAGCAAAATATTATTCAGCCTTAGAAGGAAATCAGCCATATGCGACAACTCTGATGAACCTGGAGGACTCTGTACAAAGCAAAGTAAGCCAGTATTTGGAAGGACAAATACTGCATGTATCCACTTAAATGAGGTATTTAAAATAGTCAAATGCATAGAAACAGAGTAAAATGCCGGTTGCCAGGGGCTGGGTAGGGGCAAAAATAGGGGGTGGCCGTTCAATAGGTAAAGTTTCAGTTACACAAGATGAATAAGTTCTAGACATGTGCTGTACAACATTGTCTAAATAACAGTATCATATTGTACATCCTAAGAATTTTGTTAAGAGGGTCGGTCTTGTTGGAGAGCAAGGATAGCCTGTCCCATTCAAGGTCCTTCTCACTAGACCAAGAATCAAATTAACATGAAACAGATTCAGAGGAGGAAATCCAATTGAATAGTGTATGTATGGGGAATCCACACAGGCATGGAAATTCCAAAGACAATCAGGCAAAATAAGGTATATGTCATTCTGAGCTAAAGAGAAGGGGATTGGGGTCTGGGGCATCAGAGGAAGGGACTGTAGTCCACAGGGCAATGAGAAGAGCAGATGCTTTGTAATTAGGTGTTGTCTGGCCATACAGATGGGTAACTCAGATAAAATTTATCTGTGGGTCGTAATCATTATTCTGGGCAAGACCCTCCATTTAGATTCTTCTGTAGTTAAGGGAGGGCCAAAATTTCTCTTGAGCCTGCAAGGTGCTGACTCTTCTGCTCAGAATAATCTACATGCCACAGTGGCCATTTTAGGGTGGCCTACCCTCAGCCCTTACAATAATCTCATGTTAGGGCAATAAAGAAAGGAGGAAGGAAGGAAGGAAGGAAGGAAGGAAGGAAGGAAGGAAGGAAGGAGGAAGGAAGAAGGAAGGAAGAAGGATGGAGAGAGGGAGGGAGAGAGAAAGAGGGGAATAAAACAGATAAGAAACTTAAAAAATAATAATAATTGGGGACTCTTTAAGATTACAACTTTTCTCTGCAATGTTTATTAACTCATACCGAACAACATAGACCAGAACATGGCTATCATGATTGAGGGTAGGCACTGACATTACCTGGGCAGCTACTCCATTCCATGTCCCTCGGTTTTGAGCTCCTTTAATCCTACTTTATCCTAAAAACAAAGGGTCAGAGGCAGTGAGCGGTGAGTGATCCACCACCATGCCACTGCCCAACTCCTACACCTTACTTCCCTGCCACCTCCTCCTCTCTACAGACAAAAGCAGACCTGAAACAACACCACCACCACCACCAGCAGCACCACCATGGCAAGCAGCCTGGGGTCATTAAACAATGAACAGAAAGAAGTATGAAGAATCAGTTGGTTTCTGATCATG